GGGCATAGCTTCAACCCTCTACCAGGCAGTTTGCAATTCTGCTTTAGCCTTCATCTCCTGCATGTGCATAGCCTCAAGGTCAACCAGAGATGAGAGATTAGGACCTTTATAGGCCTTTCTTCAGCATGTGCACAAATCTTGCAGATGCCAGTGAATTTCTGTGTTCCAAGAATATAGTAGAGTTTTTCAAAGACCCTTTTGGGCATCTCATTCCTAGTTCTTCCTTTTAACTTTCTTGGTCAGCCTCTTGTTAGTCCCAACTGGTAACACCCCCTCCAATGACTATGATACTAAGCCATCGTCACTTTTTATTTTCCACAAATGACCTAGGGATAAGACTGTTTGTATACAGTAACCTCTGAGCCAGGTTAAATAAAGGTAAATTCTGGAAATGGAGCTTTCTTGGGAACTGACAGATGGGTCAAAGAGTGATAGGCTGGGTGTGGTGGCTCATGCCTGTAATCCCAGCATTTTGGGAGACCAAGGCTGGAGGATCACTTGAGGCCAGGCCTTTAAGACCAGCCTGGGAAAAACAGGAAGACCCTGCCTCTACAAAACATAAAAAAGATTGGGAGGCCAAGGCCAGAGGATTGCTTGAGGTCAAGAGTTTGAGACCAGCCTGGGCAACATAGTGAGACCTTGCCTTTAGTAAAAATAGAAATAAATTAGCCAGGCGTGGTGGTGCATGCCTGTAGTGCCAGCAGCTCAGGAGGCTGAGGTGGGAAGATCACTTGAGCCTGGAAAACTGAGGCTGCAGTGAGCCATGATCATACCACTGCACTCCAGCCTGGGTGACAGAGCAAGGCCCTGTTTCAAAAAATATATGTAAAATAGAAGGAAAAGAAAAAAATTAGCCAGGCATGGTTGCATGTGTCTCTGGTCCCAGCTACTCGGGAGGGATCTAATAGACAGGGTCTTGCTCTGTCCCCCAGGTTAGAGTGTAATGGTGCAAACTCTGGCCTCTAATCACTATATGTTGATAACACTCTCCCAATTATAATCACCAAAACTATGTGCAGACATTGTCAAAATCACATGGGGAGCAAAATCAGTCAGCCTAGGTAAGAACTATTTCATTAGAGTTAGAGTCCAACAAAGTAGGGCTGGAAATAGAGCTGATTCTCAGGAAAACTGTAGATTAGCAATGAGTTGAATGCTAAAATCCTCAAGACTTAAAGGATTGACACTTTGATGCTAAAATTTCCAGCTTTAGGTGGCCTTGAACCATGGTAACTAAATATTCTCCTTCCCTCCCATCCTCCAAAAGTCTTGATTTTTCATCAGTTTATTCCTCTAATGATATTGATTTGTGAAACATAAAAAATTGCTGGCTGGGCATGGTGGCTCACACTTGTAATCCCAATACTTTGGGAAACCGAGGTGGGTGGATTTCTTGAGCCCAGGAATTCAAGAACAGCCTGGGCAACATAGTGAAACCCTGTCTCTACGAAATATTACAAAAATAGCTGGCTGTGGTGGCATGCACCTGTAGTCCCGGCTACTCAGGAAGCCGAGGTGAGAGGACTGCTTGAGCCCGAGAGGCTGAGGCTATGGTAAGCCATGATTATGCCACTGCACTTCAGCCTGGCTGACAAAGACCCTGTCTCAAAAAAACTTGCTATTTCTATCATATATCTGGTACTCTTATTTTAACATAATCATGAACCAGAGAAATGATCCCTTGGAAAACCATGTACCTTAATTTTTACTTGGAAATAAGTTATCTTGGGTATCAAGTTCCTTGCTGAGCCTCAACATGCTTTAATTCCATGTTTCCAGGCCATGTGGGACAGGGAACATTTTACCAGGGAAATTTTAAAGATATCGTGCAGGTAGTAAGAGCTCCCCAGACCTTTTTATTGGTCTCCCTGGATTCTTTTCTGTGTCCTACTTATCACATGGCCAGACCAACTCTTCTGTCCTCTTCTGAAATGCTCAATCTTTTCCTTAATCAAATAGATTATATTACCTCCATCTTTCATTCAATTCACTCTTTGGATGTATATTTATTGAGGGTCTACTATGTGTCAGGCATTATGCTAAGTACTGTTAATGTAATAAGTAACTAAAAATGACAAACCTGGTTGGGCACAGTGGTTTATGCATGTAATCCCAGCACTTTGGGAGGCCGAGACAGGAAGACTGCTTGAGTCCGGAAGTTTTGACACTGCCTCTTAAAAACAAAACAAAGCTATTCCCTGACTTTATGGAATCTTTGTTCTAGGGGTATAATCAAGAGAAACCAATAATCTCATAAATGAAACAATTATAAAATGAGAGAAGTATATGAAAGAAGAAAAACAGGGATTTAGATCGAGAATAACAGGACATGCTGATAGGAAGTCCTCTCAGAAAACATGATATATAAGCTGAGATCTGAAAGATGAGAAGTACCAGCCATAGGAAAAGTGTATAAAATGGTTCTAGGAAGAGAGACCAGCATGTTCAAGGACCCTAAGGTGGCTCTTTGCAGTCTATTTCAAAAATAGCAACAATCTATCTTTTCTTACTCTATCCAGGTTCTTTGCAATATGACTTTTCAGTTTCTCCCACCAAGTATTGGAAACTATCTTTACTCCCCTTGAATCTGGGTTGGATTTGTACCTTGCTTGGGCCAACAGAACATGGCAGAAGTGACAGTGTACCAACTTGGAGCCTAAGCCTCAACACACCCTACACACTTTTTTTTCTCTTGAAACTCTGCAGAATTATCATGTGAAGAAGGCAGGACTGGCCCACTGGAGAATGAGAGACCACAGAATGGAGATGTGCCATTTCAGCTGAGGCAAGTCATCTTAGACCAGCTAGCCCACAGCTGATCCAACAGCTGGGCACAATTGTCAGAGAAAACCCAGCCAAGACCAAGTAAACCACTAAATGATCCCTGTCCAAATTGCCAATCCAAGAAATTCTGAACTGCATTGTTTTAAGTCATTTATTTAGAGTAGCTTCTTACACAGCAAAAGTTAATTGGTCTACCATTTAATGAGAACAAGGTACTTGCCCTGCTCCAAACATTAAAAAAAAAAAAAAAAAAAAAAAATCTCTGCTTTTAGAATCATTGCATGGTCAAATTTGTTTAAAGCCAGCATGCACCAATCATTTATAAACCTGGACCTTTCAAAGACCAAGTGGCCATGTTATTTGCCTAGTTTCATCTTGAAGGGCTTGCATAGAATCAACAGAAGCAGAGTGGCCTCACCACAAGCTTCCATTACAGAAAGGCAGAAAAGAGCTCAGATGACAGGCTCACCTCAGGAAGACATTGGGGAAGGAGACATGCCCAAGGAAAATCTAAAACTTCAAAATCACATGGCAGAGAAATGCTCCCAAAGATTGGCCTGTTTTTTAAAGGAGAGTTGCAGAAAGGCAGCTTTCCACCGAAAGACAGTTTATCTTAGAATCCAGACTACTATAGAAAGTAGTCTAGGGACTCTGAAACCACATAGTAAAAAAGATCAGGGACACTTGTGATTGGCTTTCAGCAGGGTGATACTCAATAAAGAGCAAGTTCACCTGTGATTATAAGTGAATTCAATTTAATAACTCCCTTTTGGAAATGCTGTATACATAAAAGCTATAAAAGCCTGGGCAGGGGTAGTGTGGTCATCTTGGTACCACAATTGATCTGGGAAAACCATAAAACCAACACAGACCCCATTCACTGAGTAAGATTCAGCAAATCCCAGGCTGACACATCAAGCCCTTTAGATCCATGGTTCACAGCCACTGGCAGGCTAGTCCAACTCGCTCCAAGTGAATTTGTAGCCAGGCTGCATACCATGCTGGAAAGCTCAGCACATTTCCAAGCAAGCAAGTTAAATTGCAGTCAGGCCACTTTCAGCCTAAAGGAGGTTGTTAATCTAAAGAAGTTCTATGGACTAAAGCCTTTTAACCTGGGCAAATGGTTCCAAAAGTGTCATTCCCAGACCAGTACACTAGCATGACTTAAAAAGTTGTTAGAATTACAAATTGTGGGGCCCCATCCAAGATCTATTGAGTTGGAAACTGTGGTTGGGACCCAGCAATCTATTTTAGTAAGCCCTCCAGGCGATTCGGATGCAGGCTTAAGTTCAAGAATTACTATTGTAGGCGGTTGTGGTTGATCCTGGTCTTAGAGTAGAATTCTGGGTCTTTAAAATTTATTTATTTATTTATTTTTAGAGATAAAGGTCTTGCCATGTTGCCCAGGCACAACTCGAACACCTGGGCTCAAGTGATCTTCCCACCTCAGTGTCTCAAATTGCTGAGATTACAGGCGTGAGCCACCACACCCGGCTGAAGAATTCTGGGTCTTTAAATGGCCAGTCAGAGCAAGCTTAGCACTACTTACAGTGAGCAGGGTTCTCCTCATTCCCTGAACAACCTTCATTGGGTAACTATATTTGAAAGTTGGGCCACAGACATAGGAAATTTTTCTCCAGTAATATAGTTTGCATTTAATAATCATTCAGTAACACAGCTACCAGATACAGCAACAAAAGATCATGGCACCCTAGTTTCTCAGGATTAGAAGACCTCAAAGATCATGTCATGTACTGCTTCTCAAACTTTAAAGTGCATAGAAATATTTGGGAATTTTTTTTGAACTGCAGGTCCTGGCCAGGCATAGTGGCTCACAATTGTAGTCTCAGCACTTTGAGAGGCCATACTAGGAGAATTGCTTGAGCCCAAGAGTTTGAGACCCAGCTTGGGCAGCATGGTGGAACCCTATCTCTACAAAAAGTTAAAAATTAGCTAGGCATGGTGGTGCATGCACCTATAATCCCTGCTACTCAGAAGGCTGAGGCAGGTGGATCCCTTGAACCCAGGAGGTTGAGGCTGCAGTGAGCCATAATGCACCACTACACTCCAGTCTGGGCAAAAGAGTGAGAACCTGTCTCCTAAAAACTAAGTATATATATACATATATATATACACACAAATAAAATGCAAGTTCTGATTCAGGAAGTCTAGGGTGAGGCCTTAGAGTCTTTGTTCCTTTTTAAAAGCTTCCAGGATGCATGGCATGGTATCTGCTCTCAGCATTTTACTCCTGCTAGGGTGTTCAAAGGTCAGTGCCATAGAAATTCAGTATCTGGCTGTATTGGTATTCTTGGGTTTGTACTTGTTAAACCTGGTATTTCTATTGGTACAGTATTTGTATAGGTTTCTCATACTCTTCAGTTTGATATATTCTAAAATAGAAAGCAATGCTTTTCTTTTTCTAAGGTGTCAAACTGAGAATGAAGCAGATCCACCAACGCTGAAAACGACCCTAAAGTAAATTGGTTGAAGAAATTAGATCCCAAAGATTCTTGTTGAATTTTGACACCTTCATCTGTATATCCATATTAAAAAGAGACATAAGAAACCAAAATAAAAGAATTATGGGCTGACAGGACAATTGGATTAAGCATCAGTTCTATTAAAAGGGGCCAACTTGAAGATATTAATAAATATTTTGAATATAAATCTTGACTCCAGCTCTTTAGAGGATCTAAAGTGACCTTGATGGAGAGTAGAAGGAATCACAACAAGAAATTCCTTGAATATAAATGTATTGACTTAAAAACAAACAAAAATGCTTCCAAGTAATACCAATGCTGTTTGTCTATGGACCACACATTGAGCTGTAGGCCTCTAGTCCAAATCTGATGCTTGAATCCCCTACCTGGAACTTCCCCAACCTGGCTTTGCCTCAGAATCACCCCAGGAGCTTTGAAATGTGGCAATCTGGATAGCACTGAATCTATAAATTGCTTCCTAACTTATACTATGAGGGCAGCATTACCCTGACATCAAAGCCAGACAAAGACACTACAAGAAAAATAACAACAACAACAACAAGTATCTCTTACAAATATTGACGGAAAGGCTTAAGCAGAAACTGCAGACCATGTAACTTGGTAGGCATGCAGTGTAGGCCAGTGTCTCATAAATGCCAAATCAGAGACAGCTAAAAATCTGGCTATATCAGCATCACCTGGGAAGCTTTAAAAACATAGATATGCAGCCTACAAGAGATTCTGACTGAAGAAATTTGGAGTGAAACTCAAGGGTCAGCACTTCACTTAGGAAGTGTTACTCTTCTTGAATTCCTTGGAAGAGTTTAAGAAGGACTGGATTTAGTTCTTCTTGTAATGTTTCACAGAATTCACCAGTGAAAACATCTCATCCAGGGATGTTTTTAGTGGGAGGCTTTTGACTACTGAATCAATCTCCTAAGTTTATTTAGATTTTCTATTTCTTCATGATTCAGTCTTGGCAGGTTGTGTCTTTATACCAATTTGTTCATTTCATCCAGGTTATCCAATTTGTCGGCATACAGGTGTTCATAGTACTCTCTTATAATCCTTTTATCTTTCTAAAATCATTGCTAATGTCCCCAGTTTCATTTCTGATTTTAGTAATTTTAAAATATTTTTCTGCCCTCTGTGAACAAATAATTTCTTTTTGAGATGGAGTCTTGCTCTGTCACCCAGGCTGGAGTGCAGTGGCATGATCATAGCTCACTGCATCTTCGACTTCCCAGGCTCAAGATCTTCCCACTTTACTGTCCCAAGAAATTGGGACTACAAGCGCACACCACCATGCCCTGCTATTTAAAAAAAGAAATTTTGTAGAGACAGAGCCTCACTATGTTGTGCAGACTGCTCTCAGACTCCTGGGCTCAGATGATCCTCCTGCCTCAGCCTCCCAAAGTGCTTAGATTACAGGCATGAGATACTGCACCCAGCCCCAACATATAAGTTTTACCAAATCTTTTTTTTAGTTAATCTAGCTAAAGGTTTGTCAATTTTGTTACTCTTTTTGAAGAACCAAATTGTAGTCTGTGATTTTTCTCTATTTTTTTCTATTCTTTATTTATTGCTGCTTTAATCTTTATTAATTCTTTTCTTATGCTAGGTTTAGGGTTAGTTTATTCTTCTTTTTCTATTTCCTTAAGGTATAATGTTGGGTTGTTGATTTGAGACCATTCTTTCTTTTTAATGTAAGCATTTAATTATAAATTTCTCTTTTAGCATTGCTTTTGCTGCATTCCATAATTTTTGGCATGTTGTATTTCATTTTTGTCTCAAGATATGCTCTAATCTCTCTTGTGATTTCTTATTTGACACATTAGTTATTTAAGAGTGTGTTAATATCCACGTATTTGTGAATTTTCCAGTTTTCTTTCTGCTGATTTCTATTTTCATTCCATTGTGATCAGAAAAGATACTCTGTCTGATTTCAGTCTTAAAATTTATTAAGGCTTGTTTTGTGGCCTAACATATGGTCTATCCTGGAAAACATTCCCAGTATATTTGAGAAAAATGTGTATTCTGGTGTTGTTGGGTGAAGTGTTCTATATATGTCTGTTATGTCCAGTTGGTTCGTAATGTTTTTCAAGCTCTCATTATTTATTGATCTTCTGCTTGGTTGTTCCATCCATTATTTAAAGTGAGATATTGGGGTACTGAAATATCCAACTTCCATTGCAGAGCGATCTATTTCTCCCTTCACTTCTGTCAATGTTTGTTTTATATATTTTTGAGCTCTGATGTTTGGTACATACACGTTTATAATTATTATTTCTTCATGAATTAACCTTCTAAACAACATATAATGTCCTTTTTGTCTCTCATAATAGTTTTTGACTTAAATTCTATTTTGTCTAATGTTAATATAGCCACTGCTGATCTCTTCTGTCTCCTATTTGCATGGAGTATCTTTTTTCATTTTCAATCCATTTGTGTCCTCATGTCTAAAGTGAGTCTCTTATTGACAGCATATAGTTAGATCATGTTTTTAAAAAATCTGTTCTGCCAATCTTTGGGGGAGTTTAATCCATTTACACATAAAGTAATTACTGGTAGAGAACGACTTACTTGCGGCATTTTGTTGTTTTCTATACGTCTCATAGCTTTTTTGTCCCTCATTTCCTTCATTACTGCCTTTTTTTGTGTGTTTATCTAATTTTTTTGTAATGACATATCTTGATTCACTTCTCATTTCCTTTTGTGTATATTCTATAAATATTTTATCTGTGGTTACTACAGGACTACATCTAATACTGCAATGTTATAAAAACTTACTTTGAATTGATACCAACTTAACCAAACTTGCATATAAAAACTCTTTCTGTAGAGCTCTATCCCCCCATATTGTTTATGTTATTAATATCACAAATTATACCTTTATACATTGTATACCATTAGCATAAATTTATAATTTTTATGCAAGTATCTTTTACATTCCATAGAAAATATAAAATGGAGTTACTAACCAAAATTACAATAAAAACTGGCTTTTTGTATTTGCCCATGTATTTGCCTTTATTGGAGATCTTTATATCTTCATGTGAGTATGAGTTAGTGTCTAACATCCTTTTATTTCAACCTGAAGGACTCCCTTTATCATTTCTTATATGGAAGGTCTCTGAAACTATCCCCCAAGTTCATTATTCTTAAAGAACTCTTCAACAAGAGGATTACATAGATAAAATTCTATAGAAAATGGGTATATTTTTATAGATACATTTTTATATCCAGATAAAATTCTATATAAAAATTCCTGATAAAGTCTGTGGTGGATACCAAAGTAGTTCAAGTATGGTCTTACGTTTCTTACAATGCAGATCAATTGATCATCAAAAATGCCCCCAAGTTATCTCATCTGTAGTTGTCCCTTGAGCGAGCCCTTTAAAATAGTTTCGTCAGACATAGGATCACAGGATTTCAGGGCTAGAAGGGACACTAGAGATTTCCACAAAGATATTATGGAAATAAAGTTAAGTATCTATTATTTGCCCTCCTTTAAAAATATTGTCTCAAGAGAACCCTGAACATTACACTCATACCAAAGCACAGATCCTTGTTTGAACATTTGAAAAATATTCTAAATATATGGGATTCTTGGATTTATGCCCAGGGCCTTGTCTTTTAGGATAGAAGTTTAGGATAAGTGACACTTCCAATTACAATTTGTCACTGAAGAGGGCCTCTCTAACTCACTTCAATAATAGAGTAGTTACCTGCGGCAGGCAGCCTGGGGATTTCACAAAAGGCTAAAAATGTACACAGCTGATAATTAAAGTCATCGTCCATCTGACCTAAATCTTTCTTTGCTTTTGTGAGATTTTTTTCTCTGTACAGGTAGAATCCTATTTTAACAAGCTTCACAAGACACGAAAATTACTAGTTTTATCCTAATCTTCATAAGAAGGAAACCTACTGTTACAGGGTATAGAGAAGAGCAATTCATTTGTGGTTTTTATTTTTTTGACATGAAGCGAATGTTTATTACTTTATTTGCAAACAGTACATTTCACTGGGGATGCTGGGCATGGGGAGGGTATGTATGTAAGGAAACGGTTGTCCTAGCCGGAAGAAAAATGTTTGAAAAAAAATGCAGACTTACCTTTCTTCTAAACGACTGTACATAATCCCTTGAAATTCTCAAATATCACTGTAGTATGTGATTTTCCTCATATAAGCTGTGTGTTCTGCAAAGGAATCATTACCTTCCTAGACTCCCTTTATTTCTGCTCACTTTCATTGCCAGTACTAGCAGTTGGCTTTCTTTTCAGTTGGCATTTTTTACATTGGGGTGGGAGACAAAATTATGTTGACTTCATAGGTGTTCCCGCTTTAAGCTGTAGATGAGTGATCAACTAGGCTCAATGAGTGTAGATCAATGGGTGTCTCACTCTGTACATCAGCCTGGTAGGGAATGAAGTTCAAATTCGTGCCTCAGCAAAACTGCAAATCACGACATTGATGTGGACATCCTGGATTTCTCCTAAAGGTAGAGATCTTAAATGTTGTCTGTGAATGCCAAAGGCACATAATATTAAAAAATACGGGCGCGGTGGCTCATGCCTGTAATCCCAGCACTTTGGGAGGCCGAAATGGGTGGATAACGAGGTCAGTAGATCGAGACAATTCTCACTATGATGAAACCCCGCCTCTACTAAAAATACAAAAAGTAGCCGGGTGTGGTGGCACGTGCCTGTAGTCCCAGCTACTAGGGAGGCTGAGGCGCAAGAATCACTTGAACCCAGGAGGCGGAGGTTACAGTGAGCTGAGATTGCGCCACTGCACTCCAGCCTGGCGACAGAGCAAGACTCCATCTCAAAAAAAAAAAAAAAAAAAAAAAAAAACTTAAATGTTTTCAGA